TTTTTTTTTTCGGGACAAGGATTTTTTAGGTTTCTTTTTCATCTCAAAAAATGCCTAAAATTGCAGATCATCATTCTCTCCAAACACACATTTCAAATCATTCTCAACTTAATGCTAAGCTTAAACTCACTGGTATTGTTAGATTAGGAGACCTATAAACTGGAACAGGGGAGCTTATTAATAAGGGGGTTTGTTTATTATAAAAAAAAACCTTAGTTTAGTATATAATTTACATTTATCATACCACAAGCACTTAGCCAATTCTGGTGCAGGTGTAATAGAACTTTTCATAAAAGTTCGTTTGTACCCTTTTCACCTTTAATAGCATTGTCATCAGGTTAAAACAAAGGAAATCACGTACGTGAAGGAAGTTTGGATACCCGGTCTTAGTTAGCATAAATTTTGACAATTTTACTTCTCCGTTTACTACTTAGTTTTTGTTTCGATTGAGAAGATATATCAAACACTCGCGGCAGTGTTTCATCGGTTATCCAAACACCATGAATTTCGTCAAAAATTCTCCGCTGCACGTCGTATTTTCGACTCTCTTCTCGGTGTTTGGATATCCCGAAGAAACACTGTCTCTCGTGTGTGATATATTACTTGAGAAACAAGACTAACAGAACTTTGCATGTTTGTTTGTTTGTACCCTCTTCACCTATAACAGGGTATATTCTCAGTCATTGAAAATCAAGGAAAACTGAACGCGGTTTATTGTGAGATTAATTTGTTGTCTTGTTGTTGTTCGCAGTGACAAGCATAGCAAAAGAGTTAGGGATCTACACCTGTTAAAAAAGCTGTCAGTTCTTTTGGACTCAACAAGGTCTGGCCAAGGTAAATGAACCAGGAAGTAAGATCTTCACCTTGGGATAACATTCTATCTCTTAGGAAGACGTAGGTTACTATTGTCTTGTTTCTTGGCTTGTATCCTACGCAAGGTGAATTACATTTTTTTTTAAGGCTTTATTGGGTTTCAATTATCTTATACATAATTACGTAAAAAATAATAATAAACGAAAGAAGAGGTATAATAGTCAAAGGGGCAAGCACGAACGAGACCAAAGGACCCATGCAAGGTGCCGTCCAAACAGAAAATTTAGTTAAAAAAGCTAAAAATTACATAATTATATCTACTTATATGAATATCAAAAGGAAAGATTTAGACGGTGTGCGCTATGAACGATGGCATGCGCACGATCTTACAAGTGACCAAGTGCACGGGCGTTCCACGTCAAACGTTGTTCGCAAAAGGCTTGTCAGAGTTTGTTTTAGAAAGTTTTTGAAAACATCGATACTGTAAAGGCTACTTTTAGGCACAGATTTACAAGTAAAATTCCATAGGTTGACAATCCTATTAAAATAAGAAGCCTGAAATGCGGAAGTCTTGCAAATACTTATGGGTTTTTAAGTTGAAGGAATTACTTAGCCTTGTACGGCCATGAGTTACAAAATAAACGAAGAATGAAGGATTAATGGACAGAGGTAGAGGGGAGGAGGAATAAACAAATATCCAAGACACTGAAAGTATGTTGACATTGGTGCACTTACTATCATTTTCAGTCTTCTTTTCTTTTTTCTTGTAGGAAGTGAAGAAAATGATAGCAATAAACTGGAAAAAGCCTTGGTAGACATTCTGAGTGATATACAAACTCCACAACTTCATCAACAGGTGAATATTTTTGATTATCGCCGTGCTTTTCATAGTCACGCAATTTCTGGACCAAAAAAATCAACTAAGAATTGTATTTTTCATCTCCATCAATTATGATTACAACAACAATCAACAAACCTTGAAAAAAGTAAACAGAATGGATCCAAATCTGCCAATCGTAGCTCACGGACGTGACCTTTTGAACAAGTCGAAGTGAGCTATTTCCTGAGTGGTCCACTGAGACGATTGATGGCAGCGGAAAACAAAGTCGTAGATTGACGTTTAGAGTTGAAAGTTTGCGTGATTTGAAAAGCACATAAAAATAGTTTACAGTCTAGACACCCCACCGCCCTTAAAAAACTGACATTTGCCTATAGCATATATTGAGTCACAGGTTCCGTCAAAACTATGCCGGAGGAATTTGAAAATGGAGGTTTCACTCTGACTCTGGGAACGCATCAGATGTTTTCCGTCCACACTACGCCGGAGAAATTTAAACACCCAACAATCACTGGTCTTTTTTGGATTTGCGTTTGAGGAAAACTCGCTCAGAGAAATCATATGATTACCGTAACACTATCTTTTTTGAAAAGCTCGATTATCAAAATGTTTTCCGTCTACACGAAAATGAAAAGTTCGCATTTTCTTATTTCTCCCGTTTGAAGAGCATTTTCGAAAAGCTCCGTCTTCGTGACGGAATAGTGGGAACGGTAGGCCTAACCGAAAAAATAAAGCTGCATTTTGAAATTTCTCCGGCGTAGTGTGGACGCCGCCATAAATTGAAACATTTTTTTTTCTAATAGCGCTATAGCGCGGTGATGATATAGTCCTAAGTGACGAGTACGTAATAAGTGAATAGAATTAAATAAAGACTTAATTTAAGCAGGTTAAACACTTAATAGCCAAAGGCTACTATACTTGTGGCCCTCGGAAAATAAAATTATAAACGTAATGAAAAATGAACAATACTTTGAATACAAATATACATAATGTATCAATGGTCTACATAAATGTTACCTGGTATACACAATGAAGTCAATGAGTTTANTTTAGAGTTGAAAGTTTGCGTGATTTGAAAAGCACATAAAAATAGTTTACAGTCTAGACACCCCACCGCCCTTAAAAAACTGACATTTGCCTATAGCATATATTGAGTCACAGGTTCCGTCAAAACTATGCCGGAGGAATTTGAAAATGGAGGTTTCACTCTGACTCTGGGAACGCATCAGATGTTTTCCGTCCACACTACGCCGGAGAAATTTAAACACCCAACAATCACTGGTCTTTTTTGGATTTGCGTTTGAGGAAAACTCGCTCAGGGAAATCATATGATTACCGTGACACTGTCTTTTTCGAAAAGCTCGATTATCAAAATGTTTTCCGTCCACACGAAAATGAAAAGTTCGCATTTTCATATTTTTCCCGTTTGAAGAGCATTTTCGAAAAGCTCCGTCTTCGTGACGGATTAGTGGGAACGGTACGCCTAACCGAGAAAATAAAGCTGCATTTTAAAATTTCTCCGGCGTAGTGTGGACGCCGCCATAAATTAAAACATTTTTTTTTCTAATAGCGCTATAGCGCGGTGATGATATAGTCTAAAGTGACGAGTACATAATAAGTGAATAGAAATAAATAAAGACTTAATTTAAGCAGGGTTAAACACTTACTAGCCAAAGGTTACTATACTTGTGGCCCTCGGAAAATAAAATTATAAACCTAATGAAAAATGAACAATACTTTGAATGCAAATATACATAATGTATCAATGGTCTACATAAATGTTACCTGGTATACACAATGAAGTCAATGAGTTTAGACACATGTTAACTTATTCTTGTAATTTTTGTATCAAGGGTCTACAGTGTGTCTTGTCCACTGTGGGAATTCCAGTCTCTGTTTTACTCCAAGCTGTGAGGACCGTCAGTGAAACAGCACAAAAGCAAAGTAAGTACATTGTTTATTGGGATATTTTACCAAACGTTTATTGCATTTTATGTCAGTCATATATTGGTTCCTGCTGCATCACCCAGCTCTCAAATATTTCTAAGGTTAGTAATTTAAGGTAAAGGTAAAATTTTTGTTAGGGCAAGTGGTCCATCCTGCCGAAGCTTGGCATGGTTTGAATCTCATTAAGCATTTGCACTCCCCCCTGAACGGGAGGCTAGTCCATTGCAGGGTTACCCCAGCATTAATTTTGCCAGTACAGGTATATATACCTAGATGAAGAGAGGTACTGTGATGGTAAAATTTTTTGCCCAAGAACACGTCGCAATGTCCCCGGCCAGGGCTTGACATGTACCCGTCAATCTGGAGTCCACCCCACAAACCGTGAGGTCACCGCGCCTCCAAGATGAAAAATAATGCCTCCTTAATCAAGCTTATGCTCAAAAGTTCATTGGCACTGATGTTTTGTTTGAACCAACCCAAGATCACACATCAGATGACCACGATGAAGTAAGAGAAGACACCAAACTACTGCTGAATTTTTGCGATGTACAGCGGCAACTTATACAAACACACAACTCAATCTTGAAACTGTATAAGGAGGAGCAGGGATCTGGGGAAGAGCCCTGGAAAGGAAAGAGCAAGGAACTGGTAAGGAGTTTGATCAGTTGGGTGAAACAAGTAGCAGTTGATTGTGAATTCTTGTCTCACACCCGAGGGCTGGGTTGTTCAAAAGCCGGTTAACACTAACCCGGGATTAATAGCTAACCAAAGTATTAATTTTTGTGGTATAAAAATGTTTTTCACTGCTTATGTTTTGTATAGTTTGAGATTATTCAAACTCAGAACTGAAGGGCAAACAAAATAAAGTGACAAACGTAGCGAAAAGTTGAAGTCAATCACAGGGAGCGAACGTCACATGCAAAACGGAAAGAATGACATGCGATGTGATGTGTTCTCATTAGTAATAATTCTTTGCCAAACGGTTCACAAAATTTTCAGTGACCTTAAAAAGATTGTTTACTAAAACCTCAATAATAATACAATAACCAGCTGATTTGATGTGCTACCTGGTAATTTACAGTCTTTAGCCAGCCTTCTTGGTCTTACAAAATCTGAAGCTGCCGAGCTGCTGTCTGCTCTACAAGGGAGCCAGTCCAATCAACAGACACCAGTGTCCAAGAAACCCACTCGATCAGTTCCTCAGATGAGTGTCACATCCTTCCTCGGATGTTTTGAGTACACTTCAAATAGCCACCAGGGAAAAGAATCAAAGGATTTAACGCAAGAAAACACAGCTGGGCCGTCACCAGTGACTCTGCCAAAGGCTGTTGCTATGAGGAAAGGCTTGTCCAACGAAATGACAATTCAACTTTGTGAGTTGTTCTTCTTGCAAATTACTGGTCATGTTAGATAGGTAGACAGACAGACATACAGACGGACAGACTTAAACCACGGTAAAATTCGTCAGCTTTTGTTTAACAAATTCTACTTTTGTTTGTTTTCTTCTCTTCGCTAGTGATTCTAAACTCATCATGTCTTTTTTTCTTTCTGTCCTTTTAGCAAGCTTTCTTTTCAAGGTAGGTTGGAATTTTATTGTTATTATAATTATTATTGTTGGTAAGTAATTTATTTAATATTGTATTTATATTTATTGAAAAAATTGATTAGTATAGGTAATCGTACGCGAATTTAATTAACGATTTACACTACGAGTGATATTTAAAAATTCTCTCAAAGTTGCCTAAGCCTTTAGACAGGTGCAATTTGACAGAATTTTTTTCAAATACCACGAGTAATGTAAATCGGTAATCAAGCAATTACTTTGGTTTTGGTTTTGGTTTTAGTGCGGTTTGAGATTGGCTAAGTAGTGTAAATGGCAAGTAATTGGTTTGGTTTTGGTTTTACAACACTCAATTGAAAACCGCTCGACACGATTAGTCATTTATTATATGACTGAGAAAATTACGAACGCGTGCGCGTTAATTTACACTGCAATGCCAGTTAAACATTAACGGTAAATTTGCCTGCTCTCAGCCAATCACAATGAAGTAATTTTCTCACTCCTATAATAAAACGTAATCAAGAATTTAATTAATCTATTGCATGGTGTTCACTGTTTTAACTATGACATGGTTTTTATCTGTTGTTCTTCTAAAACAGGCTCCTTCAAGCAGCATCAGATGGCTGCACAAATTAGTGTTTCATGTAATATATCAAACAGGAGAGACTGTTTCATCGGGATATCCAAACTCCGAGAAGAGAGTTGAAACTACGACACGCAGCGGAGTATTTTTGACGAAATTCGAGGTGTTTGGATAGCCAGTACAACGCTGTCTCGAGTGTTTGATATATCGTCTCAATCGGAACAAAAACTAAGGAGTAAACGGAGAAGTAAAATCGTCAAAATCTGTGCTAATTAAGACCGGGCACCCAAACCCCCTTCACGGTTGTGATTTTCTTTGTTTTAACTTGGTGAATTATTAATTAGTTTGAGAAGTTGTAATACATGCTTTGTGTATTTGTTCTTTAGAATTGCCTCTTAGGGGAATGTTCTTCTGGAAGCTTAGCTCTTCCTTTTGATTCATCTGGAATTAGACCTCAACATTTAATGGTAAGGTCGTATGTCCCTTGAAAAATTACTGCATGAGAAGATTTAATTGAAATTGATAGGACTTTAAGAAGAAATCCGATAGAAGATCGAGCAATTTCAACTTTTAGTGGACAAGAACTTTGAAACAGAATAATTTTAAGTATATTACAGTCCTTTTTGCATTTTCTAAAAGCTAAAGATATAAACATTTGTCTAAAATAACACCCAAGACGTCGAGGAAATAATTTTCAAAGTTCAGAGAAATTGCGCAAGGAAAAATTTCATCATCATCTTCATCTCACCAGGACTGTCAAGTGTTTCACATGAACTTCAACATATGTTTTCGGCATTTGGTGTTGTTAGAAATGATTTCTTTTGAGAAGGTATTTAAAACAGTCACTCGCATAGAAGTCTGCTATACAATGTGAATAATGTTGGTACTAAGTTTTTGTCCGCTTGTTACTCAAACTTCTGGTGGATTCCCTCTCAAAACATCCATTTCGTAGTCAGGGCCCCAAACTAAGACTAGCTAAACTGTTGCGTTACCGGGGGACCTATCTCGATTCTTGAAAATTGCCTGCATTCAAAGCGATTCTGGATTCTGGATGCTCACACAATTTCTTTAATTTTATTTTCACAGACCCTTCTTGTCTCTGGTTGGCTATTAGATCCGGACCTGTGTTACGATAAAGTAGATTCCATGTTTCATCTTCACTCTCTCATATCAAGAATAAGTTCACTTCCAGGTAGGCAAAAAAGTCTTGAATTTTAGATCCGAAAATGTGTTCGAACCCTGTGTAATTCCTCAGATGCATCATCCCTTCCTAGAGGAATAATTGTTGCATCACAAACCTGTAGCGCGTTTACTTCGGAGGCTTGCGATGCAATTGCACTGAGTTCACCGTCGAGGTTAACAGATAAGAGATGGCTTCAAATGACTCTTTACTCCTTTACAAACTACTGAATGGCTAACCCTACAAGATTACATTACTTGAACAAAATTCGGACGTTTTATTTCGGGCGTTAATTTTCGGACACTTTTTATCCCATTTCGGACAAATTTCGGACACTGAAACATAGCTGAAACATTTAAGTACATTTACGGCTACAAAACACGAATTAGACTGAAACAACATCTGTGAAAATGCTAGTTTCACGGCACCCTCAAGGTTTTACGAATACACCGACGAGAAAACAACGCAAATTCTATCAAGCCGTTACGTATGTCAAGTAGTGTCTCAACTAGAGTTCGCTCCATAAAGCCCGGCGTAAAGGAAACTAAGAGCTTTGGAGTTACTTCCAAGTTTTGTACCGTGCTGTAAAAATTTCGGACGGTTATATTTTCGGACCCTTTTTTGTCCGAAATTTTTTGTAAGTAATGTACGCGCCTTATGTACGCATGTAAAATAGATCTGTGCATTCTTGCACCTACCCTTACTTCTTCTTACTTAGTTATCTTCTCAACATTTGCAAGCCTGCGGTAATTTTGTTGCAGGAGGATTACCAAGCGAGAGTTCCTCTGCCGAGTCAACTGACAATGTTATTTCACCGTGGTGGGAGAATGTACGTCACACTCTGGCCCAGTCCACAGCAACAAGCCGGGCGCTATCGCTTGCTTCAGTTTGTAGAGCTGTTGCCATGGAAATCAGCACAGCGTCCAAGAAAGTACAGGTATGGTGGGGTACACTGATACTAAGGCGCTTTTCAGGATTCTTTTAATATTCGGTGGATTGGATATCCTCGAAGAAGCCTTTACAACAGTAGCATGATATGTTAAATTGGTAGAATTNCACCCTCAAGGTTTTACGAATACACCGACGAGAAAATAACAAATTCAATCAAGCCGTTACATATGTCCAGTAGTGTCTCAACTAGAGTTCGCTCCATAAAGCCCAGCGTAGAGGAAACTAAGAGCTTTGGAGTTACTTCCAAGTTTTCTACTGTGCTGTAAAAATTTCGGACGCTTAAAAGTTCGGACGGTTATATTTTCGGACCCTTTTTTGTCCGAAATTTTCTGCAAGTAATGTACGCGCCTCATGTACACATGTAAAATAGATCTGTGCATTTTTGCACCTACCCTTACTTCTTCTCACTTAGTTATCTTCTCAACATTTGCAAGTCTGCGGTAATTTTGTTGCAGGAGGATTACCAAGCGAGAGTTCCTCTGCCGAGTCAACTGACAATGTTATTTCACCGTGGTGGGAGAATGTACGTCACACTCTGGCCCAGTCCACAGCAACAAGCCGGGCGCTATCGCTTGCTTCAGTTTGTAGAGCTGTTGCCATGGAAATCAGCACAGCGTCCAAGAAAGTACAGGTATGGTGGGGTACACTGATACTAAGGCGCTTTTCAGGATTCTTTTAATATTCGGTGGATTGGATATCCTCGAAGAAGCCTTTACAACAGTAGCATGATATGTTAAATTGGTAGAATTCAA